ATAAAACGGCAAAATCGCACCACTTTTTACTTTCGGGATTTTCCTGAAAGTAGAAAGCAGAACAATTTTGCCACTTTATTCATGGGTTAACATTGGGGTAATGTTGAATTAGCCTGATGTCCTCTGAAAACAATCCTGCTTTTGCAGGATATTCCTAGATCTAAATCCTGTTTATCCATGTGATTTGGCCACTTCCCTCCCATGTGATAAATTCCTAGAATTGCAAGACCAAAGATTTAGTATAAATAAAGTTATAAGTCAAGAAGAAAAGGGATGTTCTGGGTTTTAATAGTCACAGGCATCTGAACATAATGTCTAATTCTCAAAGTAAGTAATCTATCTGAGTACTATGGGCTCCCCACATTTTACTTGTTAACTATGAGTTCTTCTCCCTTTGAAAAAGCAAAGAACAAGTCACTTTTACAACTAATAACAGAAAGTAGCAAAAATTACAAATTTTGACATGTGAAAGGTCTATCTAAACGAGGAATTCTGTCAAGCTGTTTTAAATTCCTCTTGCTTTGCAATCATATCAGGCAGGCAGTGGCATGTTAGCCTCCTCTGTTCCTTCATATTTGTGCTCTAAAAATCAATGATATTATTGACTTGATTATCCAGATGATATTAATGGAAGATGGCACTGCCTTTCAAAGGACAACACCTTCCTCCTCCTCAGCATTTGTTACAAGATCTGCAGAAAAGCTATGGCTGAATTGGAAATGGAAAGTTCTTCAGAGGCATATTAGTTTGTGCCTTATTCTTTGAGTATTTTTTGAATGACTGATTTCCACTGTCACTGAACAGTTTTTAAATGGGGGCACCTAGAAGATAAAGAGCCCAAAGGGAAGATGAAACAACTGAAGCATTATATTAGACCTATTTGTCTGCAATATTGGTGGGGAAGACTAGGAAAGACTGATTTGGTAACACAATAACTTAAAAAAAAATATTAGCCTACTTACAGAATTCTGTGTTTCCTAATTGGCTGCAAGCTAATCCAGAAGTAAGTACTCTGCTGAGAACCAGATGAATATATGCATCCTGCATATTTCCACAGGGCACAGAGTCACTCGTATTATGCTTTATGTGGGATGTATTGAAAAGAATGAGATGAAATAGAAATGAGGGTGTGTGTGTGTAAAAATGTGAAATAGCTTTATTATTATTATTATTATTATTATTATTATTATTAGTAGTAGTATTTACATGTATATACTGCTTTTTCCCCAAGACTGGAAATCCATCATATATAAGAACATATTTAAAAACAATACAAATTACAAACTTTAAAAAGTCCTTAAATAAAGGAAAAAGTATGAGTTTTTTAAAAAGCAGTTCTCAGCTGTGTGAATAGCTGATGTCAATAGACCTGGGATAAACTGGGATAAAACTCTGTTTGGTTTGAAAGTGTTTTGAATATGTCCGCATCACCAACTCCATCTTTATTTGAGTGCTGGCATGTGTGAGCAACAGAATGCGCCGAGATGCACATAAATACAGTTCTGTAGTGTGAACAACAAACCTGGAATGTGTGAGTGAGATTATTCTCATAGCTGCATTAAAGAAATTATGTCTAAATGCCCCCTTTGTGGTCATATCTATTTTAACTATCTAAGGGCCTTTGCAGACTGCTAGAAATAGTGCAAATTGAGTCCACTTTAACTGCCCTGGCGTAGTGCTAGGGAATCATACACTGTGCATATTGTAGTTTCACTGTATTTTCTGCAGGGAAAAAACAAAAACAAAACATGCTGCACCTATACAGGAAAGATGGTTTACTCACAGACTCACTTTTTTGCGCACACACACACACACAAAAAAAATACGTATATTTCTCCACAGAATGAAACTCCGAGAAAAATGGACTGTGCATCCTTCTTAAGAACTTCACAGAAATCTTCAGTTTTGGCCAGGACAGGGGAAGGAGGAGGAGAAGGCTCTCCAG